GGATTATAGCCATGCAAGAGGAACTTAATGAATTCAAAAGAAATCAGGTATGGCATCTTGAACCTAAGCCACTAGATAAAAAGGTCATAGGTTTAAAATGGGTCTTTCGAAACAAACTTGATGAATATGGTAAATTGTAAGAAATAAGGCTAGGTTGGTTGTAAAGGGATATAACCAACAGGAAGGTATTGATTTTGAGGAAACATTTGCTCCTGTTGCTAGACTTGAGGCTATTAGAATTTTAATATCTTTTGCTGCTTTTATGGGTTTTAAACTGTATCAGATGGACGTAAAGTGTGCGTTTTTGAATGGTTTATTAAAAGAAACAGTTTACGTCGATCAACCCCCTGGATTCGAGAATCCAAACTTTCCAAACCATGTTTTAAAACTTGATAAGGCTTTCTACGGGCTAAAACAGGCTCTAAGAGCATGGTACGAAAGACTGTCCAAGTTCCTTTTGGAAAATGTTTTTAAACGAGGAAAAATTGATAAAACTTTGTTTTTAAAATCTAAAGGAACTCATCTCTTAGTTGTGCAGATCTATGTTGATGATATTATATTTGGTGCAACTAACGAATCTTTGTGCAAGTACTTTGTTGACTTGATGTGCAGTGAGTTCCAAATGAGCATGATGGGGGAACTCAATTTCTTTTTAGGACTGCAAATCAAACAAACAGAATCGGGAATATTTATACATCAGCAAAAATATGTCAAGGAACTCCTGAAAAAGTATAACCTTGACAGCGCAAAAGACTAACCACACTCCTATGGGAACTAACTCTAGGTTAGACGAAGATCCCTCAGGAACTTGTGTGGACCAGACAAAGTACAGAGGTATGATTGGTTCCTTACTATACTTAACTGCAAGTAGACCTGACATTTCTTTTAGTGTTGGTCTGTGTGCTAGGTTCCAATCAAACCCCAAAAGAATCGCATCTAACAGTCGTCAAGAGAATACTGAGATATCTCAAAGGAGCTGACGACTTGAGTTTATTCTACCCAAGAAGTGACACATATGATCTTACTGGATTTGCCGATGCCGACTATGCTGGGGATTTGGTGAATAGAAAAAGTACATCAGGTATGGTCCAATTCCTAGGATCTTGTTTAGTTTCTTGGAGTTCCAAGAAACAGAATACAGTTGCTCTAATCCACAGCAGAAGAAGAATACGTAGCAGCTGCTGCATGTTGCTCACAACTGTTGTGGATAAAACAACAATTACGTGATTTTGGCATAGTTCTTGAATGTGTTCCAATATACTGTGATAATACAAGTGCTATTTGCATATCAAAAGATCCAGTACATCATTCACGTGTAAAGCATATTCATGTTAGGCATCATTTTCTAAAAGACAATGTGGAAAAAGGCTCTATTAAACTAGAATTTGTACAAACTGAATATCAAATTGCTGACATTCTAACAAAGCCTTTGAGTAGAGAAAAAATTCGAAAAGATGCGATTGGAACTCGGAATGATAAGGCTGAATTGAGCAGTTCTTCTTGGAACCCCAAGGTATGTCTTAGTGAAACGACTGAGCATTGCTATATATAACCTTGGTGTGAAAAACATAATCTCGAATCTTGCAATGAAAGAGTGTGTAATTCTAATGAGTATGTGATCATATGATTATGTTGATGCAGAAGACAAATTAAGCCATATTATTTTCCAAGTTCCTTTTTGTAAAGCTCTGTACATGTCAACCAGTATTTTACTTTGAAGTAACTTACTGGAATTTTTTTCTTTCGTAATTTTTATTTTTCTTTATTTTTCAATTTTTATTTTTATCTTTTTATTATTTTTGTTATCTTATAAATTTAAAAACAACAAAAAGATTTTTTTTTTCTTAATTAGATTTTATCTTATTTTTTTTTAATTTTTATCATTGTCAAAATAAATCACAACCTTTTCTCTATCCCACTAAACTCTCAACCGTCACCTATCTTTTCACCTCACTTACCACACGCACCCACTCACCTCAGAAAACCCCAAAACACCAACCGCCACTTCCAACCTTCAAAGTTCCTCTAACCAATGAAGAAACCCACCCCTTGAAACCAGAAAACATACTCCATGAAAAATCCCTCTCAAAATTAAGCCTTAAAGTTGTTCGTGGAAAAGTTTGTTTTATTACCGATGTACACTCGGAATCTGAGGAAGAGGGAGATCAACGTGAGGGGGAACTGAATGAGAGGGAAAGCATTGATGAGGAGGAAGACAGTGAGAAGGAAGAAGTAAAAGAGGAAGACAGTGAGAAGGAAGAAGTAAAAGAGGAAGAAAACAGTGAGAAAGAAAAAGAAAAGAAAGAGAAAGACAGTGAGAAAAATGATGAAAAAGAAGAGGAAACAGAGAGTGAAAAAGAAGAGGAAAAAGAGAGTGAAAAAGAGATAAAAAGTGCAGTAGAGAGGGAAACAGAAGAAGAGAAAGAAATAGAGAGTGAGAAGGAGGAAAAAGATGACAAAGAGGAGTTAGTGAAAGAGCTACTCAAGGAAATTGGAGGCTCTATTAAACAAATTGTCCCTGTAACAGGTAGAAAAAGGAGAAGCGTTAGACTTGCTTCTTCTAAACCCAGAACACTGAGATCTCAGCCTGTTATTATTGTTGAATTGGATGATGATACATCTAAAGTTTCTGAAGGAACTTCCACCCAAGTTCCTCAGGGTCCGTCTTCCCTTGTTTCTGAAGGAACTCCATCACCACCCCCTATTCCTTCCTCTGTTCACCAAACCACACCTTCTCCACCTGCTTCACAGCCTCGTACTTCTGGTTTCGGCTTCAGTGGTTTTAGCTCTGGTCCAAGTTCCTTGCAAATCCAGGAGGAACTTCAGCTTTTGTCCACTACACTTACACAGAGTATAACTAACCTTTCTTCTAAAGTGGATAACCTGGCTACTAAAGTTGAGGGGCTGCAAACTTAGATTCTTTCTTTGGAAGATAAAGTAAATGCTCATATGGACTCCTCGGCTCAGGAACTCAAAGCTAAAGTGAAGCAAAGTTGTTACAAGACCATTCTCGATGCGATCAAGGATGTTACCTTACCATGAAGCTGCTACCATTTCCTAGCCCTTTGCAAAACAAACCTACCCCACTCTTTCTTGTGATTTATTAAACAGTGATATTGTCCTTCAATTTTATTTTGTTTGGCTTGTTTTGAACACTTTATTTTGTTTTATTTCGGTTTGTATTAAACTGGCTAAGTTTGTCTTTGAATTTGATGTTTTCATTTTGGTTGCATATGAACTGTGTGCGCATGCTTAATCGTTCATGAATTCAGATTTACTACTCCCTCCGTAGTTTAGTACTATATATAGCATGCTCTTTCTATCATTTTGATAATGTCAAAAGGGGGAAGAGAAGAACAAACTCAGAAAGCCGGACTCAAACCGATTCCCTTCAAGTCTTCATCATTAAGTGAAGGTATACTTTCATAATTTATTGATTTCATGAATGATGTAGACTTATTTATCCTTAGTTTATTTTATTGCTTTAAAAAATTTAATTGTTTTATTTAAGTATTGGTTACTCTGATTGCTTGGATGTTTGTTTTGTTTAACCGAGTTTGTTTTTGTTTGTCATCATAAAAAAGGGGAATATTGTTGAATTGACTACCTTAATATTTTGATGATTGACTTACGTAAAACAAACTCTGACTAATGATGTTTATGAGTCTTGGTTGAACAGAAAGATTCGGGTACACAAATACATGTTCCGGAGTAGGAACAACAGAGTTTGGAAGACTTGATGATGAATGCAAGCTTTCAAGATGTCCTCACATCTCTATATACTTAGTTACTCAGTGTACGAGCTTAAGAAACAAAAGTGTTGGAAGGAATGGAAGGAATTAAGAAGAAACTCAAAGTTTCTGAAGGAACCTGAAGTTCCCGAAGGAACTTGACGATTGACTCAGAAAGTTTTAAACGGAAGTTTTAAAACGGTTTTCAAAACCCTTAATTTAAGGAAGTGATAAAAATCAGTTTTGAAAAAGATTTAAAAAGATTTTATAAATAAATAAATAATTCATTAATTTAAAAAGATAAGTTTTAAATTAATTAATTATTTATCTTTTAATTAATAAATAAATAATTATCTTTTTTATTAAATAATTATCTTTTTGAATAACTGATTTTTTTGACTTGGTAAATACTGGCTCCTAGTATTAAGGAGAACGTTGAACTTGGGAGTCAAGCTAAGGAAATCATGTTCCTAAATTTCCTCTGCCTACATCCCAACTTCTCAGTCAAAGAGAACGTGGGATTAAGGGGGAAGTGGGAACTTGATGGAAGCTTGGTTTAACTCCTTATAAAAAACAGATCAACGTTAAGTTTTGAAAGTGTGGAAAAACAATCTTAAGTATTCTGAGCATAGAGTTTCAAAGTGTTTAAAAGAGAAGTTTCTTCCATCCTTAGTCTCTTAAGTTCTTTAGGAAATACTTGTAATCATTGTGTAATTGGGTTTGGGTTGTGAGAGTTGTAAAGTGTGAGACTTGAGAGAGTTGTTTACACTGTACAAGTGATTCGGAGTAGAATCACAAAGTGTGAGAAACTGTGATTGAGGGATCACAGTTGGGTAACTTGAGTTCCTCACGGAACTTGAGTCTAGGCAACGTATTAGTGATTGTAAATCATTTTTACATAGTGAATTTATTCATTGCCTATCTCAGTGTCTTTTCTCTTAGTAGTAGATTTAATTCCGCAAAATTTACCATAGTCTACATACACTACAATTCACCCCCCCTCTTGTAGTATACATTGTTCTATCAAGTACTAATAAAGAATACGAAGTGCGTACTTTTTAATTAATTTATTAAAATTTTCATTGCATTCATGATTTATAAGCTACTTTTAGTAGCAGCTTAAGTACAAATAACAAGCGAGATCAAATCCCAACTAATCATTGGTATTCATTACAAATAACAAAAACAAGTAGTACAAAAAATCAAAAAAATTTCAATATGTCTTGATTAAATAAGAATTAAAAAAACTCCAAGTCGTTGTAAGATAAATCAAGCGGATCCTCTGCGGTCGTCATCGACCTCAACCTCGCCAGCTAATTCTTCAAGTGACTTACCCTTAGATTCGGGAACCATTAAAGTGCAAAGCATACCAATAAAGTTGATGACACCGAGCACGATAAGAGACTTACTCTTCCCAATACCGGCGGGATAACCATGATCTCTCTTAGCCGGATCCTTTTCTTGCGAGGCGTACACAAATCCAAAGGCTCCTACTATAGCCCCGGCTTTTCCAGTTGCTGCAGATATACCATGGCAAGTAGATCTCAACCTAGCCGGGAAGACTTCTGCGGGAACCACGAAGGTTGTGGCATTAGGACCAAAGTTGGCAAAGAAGAAGGTTAGCCCATACATAATAATGAACCCGATACGGTTCTCCTTTTGTTGCCAATATTTGTAGGGGAAGGCAATGGCAAACATGAAAACAGTCATGAAAAAGAATCCCATCATCTGAATCCACCAACGTCCAATGACGTCTATGAAAGCGACAATAAATTCATATGGATTTATGTGGTCCTATGAGAATTCAAAGTAGAAGTGGAAAGAAGTACGTCTTAGTAATTGTTGATGATTATTCTAGATTTACATGGGTTATTTTTATGTCTAGTAAGGATGAGACTTTTGACGAGTTTGTTACATTTTCCAGGAGAATTCAAAAGTCCACAGGTCATCAACTGATACACCTTAGATCCGATCATGGCACTGGATTTGAGAATTTTAAATTTGATGATTTATGCAGGGAACAAGGCTTAAGTCATAATTTCTCAGCTCCAAGGACTCCACAGCAAAATGGAGTTGTGGAAAGGAAGAATAAAACCTTAGAAGACATGGCTCGAACCATGTTAATAGCCAGCGATCTTCCAAGGAACTTCTGGGCAGAAGCCGTGAATACAGCCTGTTATATTATAAATCGTGTCATGCTAAGGCCTATATTAAATAAGACACCCTATGAACTGATGAAAGGCAGAAAAACCGAACATATCTCATCTTAGAGCATTCGGTTGTAAATGTTTTGTGCATAATAATGGTAAAAGAAACATAGGGAAATTTGATGAAAGAAGTGATGAAGCCGTATTTCTTGGATATGCTACTAACAGTAAAGCGTATAGAGTTTACAATAAACGTACTATGTGTGTTGAGGAAAGTGTGCATGTTATATTTGATGAAACTAATCCACTTCCATGTACACAGGAACATGAGGACTATGACTTTGAAATTGGTCTAGTACGTTCTCAAGAACAAGAAGAAGATGCAATAATTCCAAATAAGCAGCCAACTCGAGTAAATGAAAATCATGAAAATCCGGAGAAGGAACTCGACATACTGACTGAAGTTCCTTCGATAGAACAACCTCAGATTGAAGAACCTGCCGAGGAACCAATAACACAAGAGGAAATCACTGAAGAAGAAGCAACTGGCTCAGAAAATAAGAATAGTTACTATCCAAACCTTCCAGCCCAAACCTTGGAAGCACCAAAAGTCACACCCACTGGACAAAATTATTAGTGACTTATGCGAAGGAACTCAGACTAGATCGCAAATGAGGAACTTCTGTGCCTTCAATGCTTTTCTATCTACTTTGGAACCTTGCAACCATAAAGAAGCCTTAGAAGACCCTGACTGGATTATAGCCATGCAAGAGGAACTTAATGAATTCAAAAGAAATCAGGTATGGCATCTTGAACCTAAGCCACTAGATAAAAAGGTCATAGGTTTAAAATGGGTCTTTCGAAACAAACTTGATGAATATGGTACAATTGTAAGAAATAAGGCTAGGTTGGTTGTAAAGGGATATAACCAACAGGAAGGTATTAAAGCAACTGAAGTAGCAAACAAGAGAAATATTGGAGCCGAACAACTGATAATTAAGAAGTAGGCAACAGCTCCAATTCACCGCAATGTTAATCAAGCGGATCCTCTGCGGTCGTCATCGACCTCAACCTCGCCAGCTAATTCTTCAAGTGACTTACCCTTAGATTCGGGAACCATTAAAGTGCAAAGCATACCAATAAAGTTGATGACACCGAGCACGATAAGAGACTTACTCTTCCCAATACCGGCGGGATAACCATGATCTCTCTTAGCCGGATCCTTTTCTTGCGAGGCGTACACAAATCCAAAGGCTCCTACTATAGCCCCGGCTTTTCCAGTTGCTGCAGATATACCATGGCAAGTAGATCTCAACCTAGCCGGGAAGACTTCTGCGGGAACCACGAAGGTTGTGGCATTAGGACCAAAGTTGGCAAAGAAGAAGGTTAGCCCATACATAATAATGAACCCGATACGGTTCTCCTTTTGTTGCCAATATTTGTAGGGGAAGGCAATGGCAAACATGAAAACAGTCATGAAAAAGAATCCCATCATCTGAATCCACCAACGTCCAATGACGTCTATGAAAGCGACAATAAATTCATATGGATTTATGTGGTCCTATGAGAATTCAAAGTAGAAGTGGAAAGAAGTACGTCTTAGTAATTGTTGATGATTATTCTAGATTTACATGGGTTATTTTTATGTCTAGTAAGGATGAGACTTTTGACGAGTTTGTTACATTTTCCAGGAGAATTCAAAAGTCCACAGGTCATCAACTGATACACCTTAGATCCGATCATGGCACTGGATTTGAGAATTTTAAATTTGATGATTTATGCAGGGAACAAGGCTTAAGTCATAATTTCTCAGCTCCAAGGACTCCACAGCAAAATGGAGTTGTGGAAAGGAAGAATAAAACCTTAGAAGACATGGCTCGAACCATGTTAATAGCCAGCGATCTTCCAAGGAACTTCTGGGCAGAAGTCGTGAATACAGCCTGTTATATTATAAATCGTGTCATGCTAAGGCCTATATTAAATAAGACACCCTATGAACTGATGAAAGGCAGAAAACCGAACATATCTCATCTTAGAGCATTCGGTTGTAAATGTTTTGTGCATAATAATGGTAAAAGAAACATAGGGAAATTTGATGAAAGAAGTGATGAAGCCGTATTTCTTGGATATGCTACTAACAGTAAAGCGTATAGAGTTTACAATAAACGTACTATGTGTGTTGAGGAAAGTGTGCATGTTATATTTGATGAAACTAATCCACTTCCATGTACACAGGAACATGAGGACTATGACTTTGAAATTGGTCTAGTACGTTCTCAAGAACAAGAAGAAGATGCAATAATTCCAAATAAGCAGCCAACTCGAGTAAATGAAAATCATGAAAATCCGGAGAAGGAACTCGACATACTGACTGAAGTTCCTTCGATAGAACAGCCTCAGATTGAAGAACCTGCCGAGGAACCAATAACACAAGAGGAAATCACTGAAGAAGAAGCAACTGGCTCAGAAAATAAGAATAGTTACTATCCAAACCTTCCAGCCCAAACCTTGGAAGCACCAAAAGTCACACCCACTGGACAAAATTATTAGTGACTTATGCGAAGGAACTCAGACTAGATCGCAAATGAGGAACTTCTGTGCCTTCAATGCTTTTCTATCTACTTTGGAACCTTGCAACCATAAAGAAGCCTTAGAAGACCCTGACTGGATTATAGCCATGCAAGAGGAACTTAATGAATTCAAAAGAAATCAGGTATGGCATCTTGAACCTAAGCCACTAGATAAAAAGGTCATAGGTTTAAAATGGGTCTTTCGAAACAAACTTGATGAATATGGTACAATTGTAAGAAATAAGGCTAGGTTGGTTGTAAAGGGATATAACCAACAGGAAGGTATTAAAGCAACTGAAGTAGCAAACAAGAGAAATATTGGAGCCGAACAACTGATAATTAAGAAGTAGGCAACAGCTCCAATTCACCGCAATGTTAATCAAGCGGATCCTCTGCGGTCGTCATCGACCTCAACCTCGCCAGCTAATTCTTCAAGTGACTTACCCTTAGATTCGGGAACCATTAAAGTGCAAAGCATACCAATAAAGTTGATGACACCGAGCACGATAAGAGACTTACTCTTCCCAATACCGGCGGGATAACCATGATCTCTCTTAGCCGGATCCTTTTCTTGCGAGGCGTACACAAATCCAAAGGCTCCTACTATAGCCCCGGCTTTTCCAGTTGCTGCAGATATACCATGGCAAGTAGATCTCAACCTAGCCGGGAAGACTTCTGCGGGAACCACGAAGGTTGTGGCATTAGGACCAAAGTTGGCAAAGAAGAAGGTTAGCCCATACATAATAATGAACCCGATACGGTTCTCCTTTTGTTGCCAATATTTGTAGGGGAAGGCAATGGCAAACATGAAAACAGTCATGAAAAAGAATCCCATCATCTGAATCCACCAACGTCCAATGACGTCTATGAAAGCGACAGTGAACCAATAGCCGGGGACGGTTCCACATAGGGCGATCAATGTTTGAGCTCTTGCTACCATATACACCTCCCTGATTGCATTCATATCTGCTGCTGGTGGGATCCAACCGATGGAGCTAAAAAGATCTTTTTGGAAAAGGTTTTGACTGTAAAATGCAATGTCGAGTAAGAACCATGTACTGGTGGTTCCTAGAAGGCGAACACCGTATTGTCTAGCAAATTCTTTAGTGAACAACCCAAATTGGTTCCTCTCACTCTTTGCTATTTTGTCAACCTTTTCCTCCTCTGCATCAATCTGAACCTTTAGGACTTTGGACATGTCTGAAGCTGCTTGCTTAGCATCCTTAGCCACAAGAGCGGTGTACCTGGCAGTCTCAGGCATCTGCATACGCCAATAGTATGTTGTGGCAGCAGGTATGGCCCCGAACATCAAGACAATACGCCAAATGTAGTCGCTCTCTGGTGGGAGGGAGGCAATAGCGTTGACTTTGAATGGGGGAGGCTTGAATTTGGCCTCAAATGCGGATGAAACAATTAGAGAGACAATACCACCGGCCAAGATACCCATGCCTTGCATAGCAAAGACAGCAGCGATGAAACTTCCACGAGTCTTCTTGTTAGCATACTCAGACATGATTGTTGCAGATAGAGGGTAATCTCCTCCAACACCAAATCCAAGCCAGAAGCGAAAGAAGCAAAGTGTTGTCATAACACCCTTGGCAGAGCTCCCAAAGGAGAGACCAGAGGCAATAGACATTGCAACCATCATAACCAAGGTGATACCATACACCTTCTTCCTCCCCATCTTGTCTCCGAGCCAACCGAAGAAGAGTTGGCCAGCTAGGGTACCACAAAGAGCAACTCCACTAACAGCAGCAGAGACATTGATAGGCAATGCTCCTGGCTTACCAGATCCCGGAGTGTCATAGTAAATACGACCAAGAAGCTTGGTCAACAAAGAGATGCAAAACAGGTCATATGCATCTGTAAAGAATCCCATACCAGCAATCACAATTGCTGTGAAGTGGTACCATTGCGTCTTTGCAACGTCAAGTGCATTTAGCACTTCTAATTGTTGTCCCTTCGCCATGATATGCTCTCTTTTTCTTTTCTTCTTTTCTTCTTTTTTTCAATTTTTCTTTTCTTATTTTATCTTTCTACCTTCATCTACGCCCTGCAAGGTAAAACAATCATATTTGTGTATTAAAAACCTGAATGAATACTTAATTTTTGTAATAAAATTATTAAAGCTTGAAACATCGAAAAGGATATATTAATTTAGAAATTTTGCAATGATGGCATATAGTATAACAAAATACATAAAGCAATATTTCAGTATACTAATGAACAATTATTTTATTTTTATTTTTTTGAAAGAATGAACAATATTATTTTAGAGGACTTTTTATATTGAGCTTTATTGGTCATACAAACAGGCTACACTTTAGTCGTAGAAGAGTCTAAAACATATGCAATATGCAACTATGCAAGTTAAGCCTATGCATGATATATGTCCATTATAAACCAATTGATAATAAATAGAGTATATAATTATTTGTTTTATATCTAACTACTATAGTTTGATTCCAACAATAATGGACTCACATAAACCCTAAAGTATTGTAACATTATTCAATATGGAAGAAATGTATGGTATGATGTATAAAAGTGGACAAAAATATTAAAGAGAAAAATTCACCAACCTGTGCGTTATGAAGGAAGAAGCTCAAGTAGAAGAGAATATTTGTTTTTGTGAAGGAAAATGGAGGGAACAAAGACGAATATTTATATGGAAATCATGTTTACACATTCTTCCGGATTGGAATCCTCTCCGTAATCTTTTAAGAATATACTTAATCTCAATTAGTCAAATATATCAAAATTAAAAGTATAAATAGTGTAAGTTTTTTTTTAATATACGATTCTTCAACTAGTATTGTCCAACCATGCATGCTTGCATTGTTTGATGAGTTCAATTCAAGTATGGCATCTTTTATCTGTTAAACTAGTAATTAATTTCTTGTATCATTTTCTAGTTCTCTTTAGTTGGTATCCACTTTATGTAATCAAATTTTATAATTTGATTTATGTTATAAAGCCCAACACTTGCAAGGGCTTTACAAATTACAACTCTCTTCTTTGAGAAATTATGTACTTTGTAGTTTGTATGTAATTTGGTTTAAACCGTGTAAGATTTCGATGTAGTAGGGATCTTCTCTTGTAATAATAATAATAATAATAATAATAATAATAATAATAATAAATATGTTTTGTACGAGTGTTGTTTATGTTACACAAGTTCATAAGTTTTTTTTTTTTTTTTTTTTCATTCCACTATGATAAAAGAGGGAGAATAACAATATATTTGACCAACATAAACTTATAAAATTATTGATTAGAGCTGACCAAAGTTAGCACGGCCTGAATATAGGCGGCTTTTTGGGAGTTTTTTTCGGCCCAAAATTAGGTCGGGCCTGACTAAATTCATAATTTTTTTGGACGGGCTTGGAAACGCATTTTTATGCAATTTTAGATGATTTATTGGCCCAGCCTGAAAAACTTGCATGGCCCAGTCAATTTAGGTAGGTTTGGGCACATAATTTCCAGCCCAAAGCTCAATCCGGCCCGCTCAGTTGTCACTTCTTTTATTAATGCAATTGTATCATAAATTTATTGTTGAAGGCAAATTTAAACGTAGTTTGGGATTTATTATGGTGGCTGGGCTTGGACCATGATTGGGCTTTGAAACCCATCTATTAGGTCCAATCTTTATTGTTATTGGACCATGAATCCTTAATATGCCGCCAGTGGCCCAGTCAATAGGCCCCAAAAATAGAAAGTCATTTAATTTGAATGAAAGCATGAATAATGAAGCACAAAAACGCAATCATATGCTGCAAACGTGCTGGCAAATACGAAGAATTAAACTCCAACAACATTTGATTGAGTTGTTGTTAAAGGATTCCGTAACAACGTGTTAGCATCACTTTTGATTTGAGTCTAAGGCTACAAATTAGTTTAGCAAAACAAATAATTAAATATTTTGTTACGATTTATGAACTCGCTTAGTATTTAGTATTTTTATTCTTTTTTAAATGTGGAAAATAATACCGATCTAACCAATTTACATCAATGTCTTTTGTAACACTATATAACCAATTGTTAAAGTAAATATTGAAGATTTGAGGGCGGCAAAGAAAAACTTTTAACCAAAAGATATTATATTAAATTTAAATTACATTGTAGACTTAAAGTCTTATAATTCTACTCATACCCAAAAAATAAATTAAATATAATAATTTAAAAAAAAAATTCTATTTCAAGCTGTATGTAGCATTGACCTGAAACATAGCAGAACAAGCAGTATTATTGTAGCATGTATTGACCTGAATCATACCACCTTCTTCTTCTTCTTGCTTATTTTCTATTTCTGTCCT